TGAATTTAAAATTTTGCATTAGTTAGAATGTACCCGATAATAGCAACCACCGCCATGGGCATCATTATGATGTTTTCAGGCATTTTGTTCAAGGAGAAGAAAGGACTGGCTACGCTGGCTTGTATACTGCTGGCAGTACTGCTGGGTGTTAACATCTACGAGCTGATGTCATTGCCTAAAGGCGCCGGGAACTCGCTTACGCTGTTTAATAATATGCTGCGTATCGATAAATACTCTCAATGGTTTAATACGCTGATGACCGGCTGTACCTTCCTGTATGCATTGCTGGTGGGCCGTGATATTATGAAAGTAGGTGGTTATGTGGCAGAGTATTTTGCATTGATCTTCTTTATTCTCTGTGGTATTTACCTGTTAAGCGGTTACAATACATTGCTGATCCTGTTCCTCGGTATTGAGATCCTTTCTATCCCCCAGTATGTACTTGCAGGCGCTGATAAAAAGAACCTGAAAAGCAGCGAGGCTTCCCTGAAATACTTCCTGATGGGTGCCTTTTCTACCGGTATCCTGCTGATGGGCATTGCCTTGCTCTATGGTGCTACCGGTCGCTTTACCATTACCGAGTACGACTTCCTGCTGTCCCGCAATTTTAATCCGATGGCACTGGCAGGCATCCTCTTATTGCTGATCTCTTTTGGCTTCAAAGTATCTGCTGCGCCTATGCACCTCTGGACACCGGATGTGTATGACGGCTCCCCTACTCCGTTTACGGCTTATATGTCTACCGTTGTAAAAGCGGCTGCCTTCTTTGCCTTCCTTCGTTTATTCCAGACATCCTTTGGCAGCGTCAGCTCCCACTGGACGCTTGTTTTGTCGATCATCACCGCAGCTACCTTATTGGTGGGTAATGTAACGGCCGTATTCCAGCAAAGTGTAAAACGGATGCTGGCCTACTCATCAATTGCACAAGCCGGCTTTATGCTCTTTGCCGTGATCGGTATTAACGCCATTGCCTGGCAGGGTATTATCATTTATGCAGTAGCTTATAGCGTGGCCAGCATTGGTATGTTTGCGGTATTGATGAAGCTGAAAGATTATACTTATGATGGCTTTAACGGCCTGGCCAAGCGCGAACCAGGCCTGGCTTTTGTAACCACCATCTTCATCTGCTCGCTGGCAGGTATCCCGCTGACAGGTGGCTTTATGGCCAAGTATTATATGCTTTACTCCCTGATGCAGCAAGGCCAGTTTATGTGGCTGGTGATCTTTGCCCTGCTCATGGCGGC